TTCTTTTTGAAGACTGTTTGCAGGCATTTTTCTTCCATTCTTCTCAATTCTGCAGTGCTACAGTGTGTTTGAACTCTCTTGTGAACAATGTCTGCACACAGTTTCTTTTGTGAGTAATTGGATTATTGCCAGTATAGTTGAACATTTGATCTTTGTGCGTTGATCTTCTATATCCTTGTGTTTCTAAATTTCCTGTGATGGTTCTCCTGATTAAGACATCTAAAAATGGGGTTTTGTTATCTAATTCTTCTTTTCTTGTGGTGAATTTGATGTCTTCAAATATGTTGTTTATTAATGTATGGGTATATTCTAAATCATTTTTCTTAATTATTACAAATGTATCATCAACGTAACGTACCCAGATTTTTAGTTTAATTATAGGTAGAGCTATTAATTCTAATCTTTGTATGACGGCTTCAGCTATCAGTCCTTATATGGGCGATACCATAAATGTTTATAAAACTAGAGTGCATACGTGTGGATACCATAAGTCTTTGAAAAGCAGTAAGGAGATAGAAACATATTCAGGCTACCGGTTTTTATATTACAAACAGAACACTTGCTTTTTATTTTATGGAGGTATAGTTATATGACGGATGGGTTTTCATAAATGATGTTAGTAAGTATCTTGATTGGACAGTAGTAACTAGTGTGACGTATCTAGTCCTAGGTCCAAGGCTTCCTGCCGATTGTCTCCAACTATCCAATATCATCAAATATTAGCAGGTATAAACATTCTAAAACCTGATTTATTTATACTCTTAAGATAATTTAGGTTAAATAAAATCTTCAGTGAAAATTGCAGATTCAAAAGTGTTTGTAGACGGACATTAAACTAGTGTGGTTGGAATATTTTGGAAGGAAAGTAGAAAATGAAGAATCAACTGTTTCGGTGTGATGATGATGTAAAGAGGAATCACATTTCTTGTACATTTTTTACCGTTTCAAGCGTATTTAGCCTGAGAAGACGGATATGCAGATTTATTCATGAAGTCGGCTTGAGCTTTGGGGTTATTTCTATTCAGTTAACTGACAATTGTCAGAAATGTCTAGCGATAAATACGACTATCATAACTTAAGGACATTTTAACATGTATCAGAAGTTATAGAAAACTAATCTTTGAATACCCCTCAGCAGTACGCCCCCACCGGAGTTCGAACCCGGGACCTTTTGGTTACAAGGCGAGCTCGTAGACCATCGAGCCACTGGGACCTGATGGGCATTTTAACATGTATCAAAAGTTATAGAAAAATGATCTTTGAATACCTTAATTCCGTATCCTGTAGGCTTCAGATAGTAAAATTGATATCATTAACTTTCCATGAGTTTATCTGTAGGGATTTGATTTGTATCAAGTCTGACCTTGGTTTCATATCAATTGCAGAACTACTGAAAACCACTAGGGAGTACTCGACAGTCAGCTGTTTCGTCCTAGTTTGGAACTCATGAGCAGTACGTACCGGCAACAGTAAGGAATAGATTCCAACTTCAGAAGACCTTGTAACAGCCAGTCAGATTCTTCTAGGTGGAAAGTGGTGCTTGATTTACAAAACAAGTGTATCTATGTTATATATGTAAGAAAAATGAATCATACAGGGTATATAACTCTAATATGCTGCAAAAAGTGACCCCAGTTTCTTGGAGAAATGGTTATAGACATATCAAACCAATGCATTCTCCATTTCTGCAGCTGTAGCACATACTGGTCACATATACGCAATATAATACTAAGGGAGAGTTTCGATGTCGAGAAGAAAGCTTCTCAAAAATCACCATTATCTACGACTTACTAACTCTTAAAGACTTCCTGATATAAAGTCGTTGCATCTGAATGCATAACCATCAGCACTCCGGCAATACTTTTTCAGCGACATTATCCCGCCAAATATGCATGTTTTAGTCCTCTCTATCAACCCATTTTCCATAGAGAAGTCAGAAAACAGTTCTAGGAGATGCTTGCAACGAGGGTTATGACTAGGATCCATTTGCAGTGCTGGGCTATCTGATTAGTCGATTCAACGTCATTTGGCTTTGGTGTCTATTGCTTACGATTGCCTATGTGCCCACTGGGTTTCGAACCCATAACATCCAACTTATTAGGCAAACTCGCTGACCATTCAGCTACTGGAACTCTTGCATTGTAAGTGGAAATAGATGTCTACGATCTCTTTCTCACGCTAAGTGGTTTAATAAGGTAAGTAATGTTGACGTTAGGCGAAGAGGGAAAATCAATCGACGAGGCTATAAAGTTACATAGATTGAGATGCCTAACCATCGCCTCCACCGACGGGCATTACTAGCTGATATAGGTGCAGGTTGGAAAAGAGTAAGTGGTGGTCAAACAAAAACATGGCCTCATCAATCCATGAAATCCTTGACAGCTAAACTGAGTCGGTCAGGTAGGGAGGGAGATGCAGACTTCCGGGTCGGGGGCCTCGGGACTCTAGGAATCAATGGCTGGAGACAATAGGTGACATGGCTCAAAATCGTTGTCAATGGCGCAGATGTATTCAGTCTCTGTAATCTTCCATATTCCTTTCTATCATAAGCCATTCTGTTTCACTCTTATACTTGTCAAACTCTATTGATTCTCTTCACTCATCTTCTTGTCTACCTCTGTGTGTTATTTGGAACGTTACAACTCGAACTGGTGCACTTCGGTTCCAAGTTCTATGTTGAATCCAGACATTGTAAGTGGAAGATCGTGGGTTCGAATGCTGCAGATGAGACCCAACCTAGGATAGAACAGTTGTTTGTCCAGTACTCACTGGTTTTCAATGGTTCTCTGACCAACATCAATGCATGATCAAACTTGAAACATCCTTTCGTTTAAGCCATTAAAGAAACGCTGTTCTCTTAGCTGTTAACTCATCAGAGTTTTCTATCCTGAAATTAACCTTACAATTGGTCAGTACTTAGTACTCAGTTAAGTGAAGAAAATGAATTGGCCACATGTGTGGAATTTGAATATGCCATGAAGTGATGTTTAATTACGAAGTCTTATCTGGAATACAAAGGCCTCCTTGAACAACCGCAAATTATCTTGACTCTTCAGGTTGTCAGTGGTTCAGGGGTAGAATGCACGCTGATCACGCATCACATGTTCCAGGGTTCAATCGCCAACTGAAACACTCCTAGGTATCGTTAGGCCAGTAATAAGACTGGTTATGCAACCCCCATTACATCAAAATAAACACCAGTGCTATAGAAACTTCAGGCCTCTAGCCTGAAGCCCTTTGTTCCAATGAGAACATAAAGAAAAAAAATATTAATTTTAAAAAATCATTCACTAGAGGGGAACTATACTATTCAGCAATGTACTTTCACATATTTTATGAACAGATATAAGCATTCAGTGGAAAAACTATGGAGATTTTTCTGAGGTTTGATAATACGCGTCTTCATTAAGCTGCTAATATGGTAAAGAAAGCCCACAGTAAGTATCACTGAAGCCACATACAGAATAAAAGGTAGTCATAAGACTCAGCCAATGCACTTTCAACTCCTAGGTACGCATTCTGAGCCACCGACATCTTAGAATAGTGATGTTAAGCTGAAAGAAATTCCATGGCGTATAGCACAAGATATATATATCATGAAACTGTGGAACAAATAGCTGTTGATCTGATTTGCATAGAGAAGTGCACTTTTTAAATGTTTTTGTTTTCTTACTCAGAGTGTTAACAATCAGTAGCACTTGAGAATTATTGATAATGGAACTGAAAACGCAACATGAAAATGAACCATATTTACTCTTTCTATATCTATTGGTATTTTTGTCTCCGTTTTTCTTCAAGACCAATAAAACGATGGTAGAATAAATTAGCCTCACTAATTCTTTCAAAACGTGTGAAATAGTTTGAATAGATTTATAAAAGAGCTTCTCTTGAAATGTACAATGAATGTCCACTTTTTATTTAATAAGGAACTATATAGACAAATTGACGGTGTGGCAATAGGGTCACCACTAGGATCCATTCTAGCCAACATTTTCCTTGCGAAACTAGAAAGTGGGCCTCTAAAGGATGTTATTAGTGAACTCGAATTTTACTGTCGGTACATGGATGATACTCCACCTTAAGAGTTCGATTACTAAATATTGCTGAGGCTGTCGGGAACCACAGTAAAAAGCCTAATTTGTGCGTCCAAAAGCAGCTAGTTCAGACATTGTCATTACCTTGGCCATCCAGGTTTGAATTATCCTGAATTTTTGTGCAATCTCCCTAATTTTAGTTGATATTCTATTCGCTATTATATCTTTATTATGATTATTATAATTTAAGTATTTTTAGTGAACTGTAAGTGCATTGATCACACTTTACAAATTGATATTATTTAAAAAACACCAATATTGTTATTAACTACCAATCTTGAATATTTTGTGTATATAAACATGCATATATAACTCTAGAGCCAGAAGAGGAATTTATCGAAAAGAATATTCTTTGCTCGATGGTTATTTTGTATTTTATAGATGTCTGAATGAATATTTTTGCTATATTGAGATTAATATAAGTTAGAGAACCACTAGAAACCAGGAAATACTGGATAGCCGTTTCCTCCTTGTCTGGGACTCTTCATCAGTACCAGCCGATGAACCCATCAGGCGTCAAACTTCGGTCTTTCAGGTTACAAGGTAATTTCATTAACCGTTCAGTCACTGGGAAGTTGTCTAATGGCTCATAGATTCTATCTTTCACAAATGTGCAATATATAGCGAGCTCTCCTTTGCATCTACAGGTCTTTAGTTCTATCCCTAGTGAGGTCTTAGGTGTGTACTACTGAGAAGTATTAAACAAGAGTGAAACAGATGTCCAGTACTCCCTGGTTTTCCATGGTTCAAACCATGATCAAACTCCACATAAATCAAATACCTTCAAACCAACACTTGAAAAGTACTAATATTACTTAAAAATTATAGAATCACACACACACACATGTATCCCCTCTAATATTTGTTATTTATCCCTTTGTATTCCTGTGTCATTCTGTTGACAAGATTAAATGGAGATGGTGGAAGATAACATCAAGAAATGATGGTGCAAAGTATCATCCAGGTGAAAGTGTTTCAACTTATGAAGAATTTGAACACGATGATCGTATGCAAAGTGAGTTCAACTGTCACTAACAGAAAAAATTAGAGGAATTATACAAAATACTTTGACAGATATAATTAAAAAAATAAATTGTTTTAAACCAATCAGACAGAAGACATTCTAGTGCAAATCATTGGCATTTCTAAACTAGCAATGACATAATAATAATAATAGTCTTGTCTTGAACAAGGGAGGTTTTTTGTATTCATTTACGTTACCAATGAGATACAGGAGGCTTCAAGCTAGAGGCTTGAAGTTTCGACAGAAGTGGTTGTTATTCTTACAGGATGGGGTTGCTAGCCTCATGCTCAACCTTCCCTCTTTACTAGTCCTACTACTGGCTTAGCGAGGTATAGGAGTGCGTCCGCTGGGGATCGAACCCCGGACCATATGCAAAGTCGACGAGCACTTTACCACTGTGCAACCAACGCACACAAGGGAGTTTATTGTATTATATTTTCTCTTGTAACGACAAAAGGCAAGATTTAAGCAGCATATCGTTTAATAAGGAAATCAACACGTATCTATATATATTCCATGTACATTATTATAGCTTATTCAACCAGACAAACACAGTCTTCTGACTGGTTGTTTCTTACAGAAAGTTGACCTTGCATTTCATTGTGACTATTTCTTGAATGTCAGGTCACCTATGTGTTAACTGTATCTGCCTACATCAAGTCTGCTGTGATTGGTTGCTGAATAAGTCTTGTTCATATTTTCTCACCACCGATATTTGCGACATACCTATTGACGTAAAATGTTGTCTACCATTTTGGGCTAGCCTGTACAGAGGGGCTGCTATCTCAATGAAGTTCTTCACGAAGCGACTATAAAACGCTGCTCTACCCAAGAAATGTCTCAATTTTCTCTTTTAATTCGGGGCTGGGATCAATTTTATCGTCAAAGTTTTCTCCAATAGTGGTTTAATCTCACCATTCTCCACTTTATGTCCCAACAGAGTAACATTCTTTTTGGCTATCTGAGACTTGGTTTTGTTGACGCGCAGTCCAAACTCTTTGATGCGTCGCAGCACAGCTTCTACATGCTACACATGATCGTTTTCGTTTTGACTGTATATGACGAGATCATCACCATACACCTCCACGTTTTTCAAGTTCTTAAGTAATAGCGTCATCAGTCGTCTGAACGTAAACGGTGCACCACACTCTTTGTATAAGAAATTTAAATAGAATTATTAATTGACAGTAGATCTTATAACACAGTGTTCTGCGACCTGCAGTACACATCACTCACTTATGATATTTCTACTTTGTCTTTTTCGAAGAATCCAAGATATTTCCTTTGAAATCCAATAATAAGAATTTCTAAGACGCAAGGAAGTAACTCAAGAACAGTTGTCTAATGTATTGGGGTACTTTGTCACTCACAATTATATCTTCATCTCAAGTCTAGCAGAACTTTGTGAATCAACAGGCTGTAAACATTTTAAATAGTCACAACAGTAAATAATACCACTAGAGATCATATTTTAATCAATTTAAACAAAACGAGATGGAGCATTTTGGTGGCCCAAGTTTTTCTATTGGAGACATAGACATACGTTGAAGGGGAATTTTGAATAACATCCATTCATTACACAGCAGCTTCTCGTGTGTGTGTGTGTGTGTGGAACCCTAGTGGGTCATATATCCAAGGATAACATGGAGGAAGAGGATGAAAGCGTGTAGGTAATCGTAGAGTCGGGTAGAAATCCCGACATGGAACAGTGTACAGCGGCGATATACTACTAAAGCTTTATATTCTACCCGTAACTCGGAAAAAACGAATGATAATAAAGATGATGACATCTGTTTGAGCAATAAAAGGAAAAAGCATCCTTTAGTCGTGTTATGTACTCGTCGAGTGGTTAATAATCCTGACGCGGAAAAAGGGAAATCAGAAGACCACCAGATTTACGATGATACTTGTATTTTCCAAACAAGGAAAATAAATGTCACACAAGTGTGTGAGTGGAAGGGTACTTAGATGTACGAACTGTGTGTGAACAATAATACAGTACACAAATATATATGAAAATGGCTAATACACATGAACCAATAAGATAACGTCTTACCATGGTTGGTTGTAATGTCATGTGATAACAAGGTCATATATTGTTTATTTAGTTAGTGGACAGACAAAAGCATATTGTCAGTTATAATGGAATATCGATCCATATACACATAGCAAAATATAATAGACTGTCAAAAACAAAACACACACACACATCATGTGGGTACATACCAAGTCGCCTGTTACTTGCCTATTTGTTTTACTCGTTATTTTATTTTTTTGTAGATGAAATACTCAGAGTTATGGGTCAAGAAACACTAGACTATTGTTTAAATCTATGCTCTGGAAAATTGGACTACTTAGTCAGATTACCATATGAAATCTTAGTAAAAATAATTTCCTATTTAAATCTGGAAGATGTAATCAATCTAGGAGTTACATCAAAATTTCTAAATCAGGTAGATTCATATTCTTAAATCACCTTTTAAATTATTGTTGTGTTTACTTTTTTCAAATTTAAAGATGTGTAATAGTGAATCATTATGGCGGGAAATTTATATCGGTACAACATCAGTGCAACCAAATGAAGCTATTGAAGATTTAGCTAAACTATTTGGATGGAAGAAGTTATTTTTCACCAGTAAATTACATCTTCAGGTAAAGTCGATCAAAAAAGCAAGCAGAAATTATTGTTATTATTATTACTACTACTACTACTGTATAGGTACAATTACGACGTCTTACTTTAGAAAAAAACGGTGAAAGTGGAGATGGACAACTGAATGTTCCACATAACACTCAGTTACATTGAGGTAATTAAATATGTCAGTGTTTTATTTTTTGTATAACGCTTTGCATGGTTCATATATGGAGTTGTATCGGACTGACGCTGGGGTAACCGAACGGGAAACGATGAGTTGAGCGTCTGATTGTGAAGTTGGGTAAATTTTGTGAGGAGAAGATGAAAGCTTATCGGCAGTTATTGGACTCAGTAAACGAGGGTGGTGGTGGTGGAATGAAGTTGTGTGCTGATGAAACTCTTGTTTCACTCAGACTCGAAGGAAATAGTAATGGTTTATCAATTGCGGTTACTTGACATATATTTTTGTTTTTCAATTGTTAGTTTTGAGGGATTTGAATGGTTTCAAGGTAGATCGTTAAATAGCATCGATTTGAAAACCACTGAGAACTAGGGGAGTATTGGACAGTCGTGTTATCCTGACTGTGCACTCTTCAGCAGTACGTACCTATGACCACACTAGATATTGAATCCAGGACCTTGAAGTTAGAAAGCAAGTCTGTTGACTATTTAGCCGATAGGGTGGAATCAAATGACCATAGAGATCTAACTTTTGTGCACTTCCAATGTATGAGGTGACTGCCGAACAGCGTCATTGGCGAGCATTTGTCTCCACGTCCCACTGGCTACAAATTTGCATCAAGACTCCAGGGAACTTTATGCCGTAGTCACTTACATTTTAAAGTGGTTCTCAATGTATATGTTATGTACTCGTCACCAAATTATTGTTATGTACTGGTCGAGAATTTAATAGTCCTGACGCAAGAAAGACGGAAATCAGAAGACCACTAGGTTTGCGATGATGCTTCTATTTTCCAAAACCAGGAGAATCAATGTCCACAAGAATGTGAATGCAATATATATACATATATTAATGTCCAGACAAGTGTGTGAACAAATCAATAGACAGTCTTAACATGAATGGCTAATTATAATGGAGTATCGATCCATATATACATAGCAAAATATAGCAGACATGTCAACAAACATACATATAATATGGATATATGTCACCAAGCAACGGACTGTCAACAAACACACATATTATATATAATATAAGGGGAATATACATTGTTAAAGGAGACAGGTTCATCAAAGTGCAATGGTCACAGACTAAGAGAGCAATAGAAAGAGAGACCACCATATATATATATATATATGGATACATATCAGTACAGTACGTGAAAATACAGAAAACTTCGGAATGTTTTCATCCTGGTTTGAAATGTCTATACCTCATAATAATCGACGTAAACTTTTGAGATGTGTATATGTTCCCCATAAAAGTATAGTCTGTGGGGTGATTTGCTCACCCTGTAATTACAACCAACTAACTGTTCATCGTAATCATCATTGGTCGGAAACCATTCTCACTTTCAACCTGACAGACATATGGATATCTTTATATATTCAAAAAGTTGATTGCCTTTTCATCGTTTATTCGGCTGAAATGTGACTTTTAACAAGCAGAGAAAAACATATCATGGAAAACGGTAGGGTGACATTAAGAAATCAGAAATACGAAAGAAGAGCATTAGAGCAGAAGCTGATCAGAAGAGTAACCACAGGAGACGTTTCTAAAATGATTTTGGTCAACACAAAATTCCAGTGTAGAATTAGCTGAGACAGGAAATCCATGAAGTGGTACTAGTTAGCTTTAATTCTTCTGTCGTTCCATACTAAAGATTAGGTCAGTCCTGCCAGAAAGGATTAGCAACACGGTGCTCTGGAAATGAATCCGCCAAGGATCTAAAACCTAACAAATACGGTGAAGAAATTAGAGGTGGATTGGATACACGCTGAGAAGGTCATTGGCTGACACCACGCACCAGACTATTGAGTAAACCCTGAGTGACAAACGACTGTTCAGGCGTTCGAGGGTGATGTGAAGACAAGAGATTATAAGGTCCGTAGAGGCAGTTGAAAATAACTTCAGAGAAGAGGACGGAATGGAAGTGTGCTATTGAAGTCCTGTGTTCCACTTGGTTCCCAAGATAATAGTAATAATAATAGTAATAATAATAATAATAATAATATAAGTCCATTCCAATGATCCTAACCAGTGAGTATCAAAAATATGTCAGTATATAACACTTACTCATTATTTTATAAGGCCGCACTTATGGCTGACTACTGTTTTTACTCCTCTAAACTGTTTTATTGCCTTTAACTAGTAAGCGGCAAGAATGGCTTCGATGGTGTATATGTAGAACTTTGCAGGTCCACTCCAGATTACCTTCAAGAGTGAATTTATTTATTTATCGGTTATACTCAGCACACCGGAACACATACTACAAGTGTTTATGATTTCTTAAACGACATTTTCACTAAATATGAATTGCGCTACAGTGGCGGTTATTGTCTGACATAGAAGGGAGATGGATTTATTAGTGTCTAAAGGGAGAACAATAGGAGACCTAACGTTTTGTATTCGGTATCATCTAAAGTTGCCGCTCTGAACTGATTTTGCCATCTTGGTATTTAACATACAATTGAAAACCTTATCACCGACTCAGATATATTAACTTCTCAGCTGCCTATCTCTCAAAAACCCACCATCACTTCTAGTCTGTGTACTTGCTTCCAAAAATCTTCAGAAATTACCTAACATTTTAACTATGAACAGTGAGTAAAATATTTTATCGCACTAATTATATATTGATCAAATGCTATTTGAGTAGCCAGTAAATTATCACACAAAAAGATATGAATATTATAGGACAAACATTTACAGTTTTGTGGATTAGTCTGAAGTTTTACAAATCGACTGTTTGAGAGATATTTCGGAAATTACTAGAATAGTAAAAATAGAAGTAAACAGTGAAATCGGAGGTATTCGCACTACACTGCCGTTAATTTAGAATGAAGAACAATGGCAGGTTTACAAAGCTACTTTAATTATGACCAAAGTTGACTAAATCACTTGTGCAAACTTATAGTTGTTTCCAAGTTCATTCTACACTAGTGAAATAAAACTTGCTGTAGGTGCAATTGTACAGCTCCCCTGTTTCTTGTATCTTGGCCTATTCTGTAATTATAATCAGTGCTAGTCATTACTTCTTAAATAAACACTGGATAGTCTTGATTCTAGGTGCAATTAATTAGCTTCTAACACCCTATTCAGAATGATGTCTTTTTGACTGGTAGAGTGTGGAGGGGGGGGGGGAAATTCAATACAATAGCCATAGGAAATTATGCGGTTATTCTAGGTAGAGCAAAAGTTTTGTCATAGATGATGACTGTGACGGAGTTTATTTCACTAACATTCTGAATGACAGCAATAATACATGCCGAAATGGCTGTACAGGGAACAGAAAGTGAGTAAACCTAAGGAATACAGTCCTGCCTATCCGAAGTGAAGGAGAATACTTTAAGGAGTCTACCTCTTGAACACCACCATGAACATTGATATATGGCCTGCACATTTAATTTCTGAGGTAGTACTGTGGCATGGTTGATTGGTTGTGTCATCGTAGTGTCAGCTCTAACTTACATCAGAACCTGAATCTACCGAGGTCACAGGTCAAGAGAAAAACATTTTCATTGAAACTTACTCCATACTACAACATTTTAACCTAACAGCATAAAAACGACTAGGATCTATTTTGGTAGCAGATTACAACTGTACGCATCATCATCGAACAAAGCATGGAATGGCAATCAAACCTCTACCTCAACTTCATGGACTTTGAGAAGGCCTTCGACAGACAGCGTTGACCGCGAAGTAATTTGGAAACTACTCGAGTACTATGGCGTATCCTAAATATTCATCAACCTTATTCAACAACTTTACGACAACGGTGGCACATGTCTAGTGATTCACAACGGAAAACTCAGTGAGGCGTTGGAGTAAACACAGGAGTCAGACAAGGGTGTTTATTATCACCAATGATATTCCTAATTGTCGTGGACTGGATTATGCGTCAGACAGTGGGAAACAAGAAAACAGGGATATCCTGGACCGACGTGAAGGACCTAGAACATCTGGATTTCGTGCGTGGATGATTTATATTTGATGTCACACGCAATCGAAGACTTACAAGCGAAAATCGACAAACTGGTCGAAGAAGCAGCCGGCGAAGACAGGACTGCATGTGAACATCGACGGGACGGAGGTTATGAAAATAACCAACCAACAACAACAGCAGCAGCAACATCCAGCGCCAATCGCCATCAACGGGAGGGATTTGAAAGAGGTCACTTCATTCACTTATCTAGGGAGCACTGTCTCAACTACAGGCAGCCGGAACGGACGAGGATGTCAAATCGAGCGAGAATCGGGAAGGCGAGAAACACACGCACTCATCAGCCTGAAACCAATCTGGAAATCTTCGTCACTCAACTTAACATCAACAACAAAATTCGGTGGGATTTTCAATACAAACGTCAAGTCAGTCAGCTCTTCTATACCGATGAGAAACTTGGCGGGCGGGTCACAAAGAATATTTCCAACAGGCAGTTGCAGACCTTTATTATTCTTGATGTGAAAGCTGACAAGAATGAAATGTTAAAAAAGTTTAACGATGCACATCCATCGCTTATCTTCACTTGTGAAGAAGAATATGATGGTGGACTACATTTTCTTGACGCCCAATTGAGCAGAAGAGAGGATGGTTCACTAAAGAGAGATGTCTATAGAAAACCTACATCTGTAGGACAATATACACATTTCCTCAGTTATGTACCAATCCGTTACAAAATCAATTTGGTCAGATGCCTGACGAATAGAGCAAGACGCATCTGTACAGATGACTCTCTAGAGAATGAGCTAGGATACATCCAAAATACGTTAGTCCAAATGGGTTATCCTAGTAGATTTGTCAGGAGACACATGAATGCTAAGTGCAATAAAGAGAAACCGATAACAGTTAAAAAGAAACAACTGTTCATCAAACTGCAATTTAATGGGGACGTGGCTAGTGAAGTCTTACATCAGAGATTATCGAGAGCGATAAAACGGACTTATACTGCCGCCACCCTCTGTTTGTCATTTTCCAGCCGGCCAATTTTGATTGCTCAAGTGAAAGATAAGTTACCTAGTTGTGCCACTTCCATGTGTATCTATAAATTTAGTTGCTCCTGTGGAGAAAGCTATATAGGCCGAACAACTAGACAGCTTAACAAACGCATTAAAGAGCATCTTCCTTCATGGTTCGGAAAAGGTCAAATAAAGTCCATACGAAGTTCTATTTTGGCTCATTTGATTGATAGTGGTCACCAAGTGGACAAAAATAGTGCTTTCAAAGTTATTTACCGTTTTCCATCAAGTCTTTCGAACGGAATCAGAACCCGTCTTTTACACTTAGCCAAAGCTATGGGAATTCGAGAGAACAATCCTAGTCTTTGTATACAAAAGAAATTTGTTCTACCTTTGTCTCTCCCTTGGCCTAGGTGAATTCTATTCAAAACCCTCCCACCCTTTCTTATCATCCCTCTCCTTCGTACTTTTATGATATTTATTTAAACTCTGATTATCGTTCCATTTGATTTGACCTAATTTATTTATTTATTGAATTGTCCACATATATGCATATACTAACTTTGTTATTCTTATCACCTATATAAGCCTTATTAACAATATTTTGTTATTATTATAATCATCGCTATTAACTTCGTTCAAAACATTTACCGCAATATTATTACTATTATTATTATTATTATTATTATCATTATTATTATTATGATTACGATTATTATTTGATCCACTAAATCACTGTCATTGGTTAAAATTTTATATATATAAGTCTATGTAAATTAGAGTAAAGCCTGAAGAAGATCTAATTGAAAACAATATTGTTCGCTTATATGTCTTGTTCTAATATTATAAATGGGAATATTTAAAAATTCGATGTAAACTTTAATCAGGATGCACATAGAAATAAAGGAAATTTTTTGTTATTCAGGGGCTCGGGATGATAGATGAGTCAGAAAGGGTCAGGAGAAATAAAATACGTCAGGCAGTTAGGTTGAGAACAATAGGGTCCTAACTACTATAGTAGAAGTGGATAAAATATTTTCTTTTGAATTTACAGATCTAACTTCCTCATTTAGTGGCGAAAGTGGATCGCCTTGGGCAGGTTACTTTCCACTTTTTAGATCTTCTTGAAGCAGGAGTTTCTTAAGATAGGGTGGCTAATGTCTACAAAGTGATCAGTTACTGAACTTCTTATAGACCTGCTATCACCTTTCAACAATCATGCGGAATAGTGTTCTTTGACCCCTTTATACAGCATACGCATCAAATGATCAGGATAACTGGCGCAACAAGAACACCTGGAATCAGTAAGTTATCGAAAGATCTGACATTACAACGAAGGAACCTCGGAAATCATCTTACACAGAATTATTAACAAAGCAGGAATAAAAGAGGCTGGCATTCACACCACCCACAAACTCAATTAGAAACAAGCTTTGTCGGTTAAAGGATCAGTCCTGTGGAGCTTTTAAAACAAAACAATTTAGTTTATCTAATACCCTGTCTACAATGATTGTCAGGTCAATACATAGGTCAAACTAGTAGAACAGGGGCAGTGAGTCAGACTAGCCGAACATAAAAACCAAAGAAAATCTAGATTAGTTGACCCAAATAAGATAAGAAATCTAGAGAATGGTCCAGCTATAGCACTCACTACATGCAGTTACACACAACCATACAATAGGATGGGATAGGATGACAGTTTTAAAATCTAATGTCACAGGGTATAGGGAGAGATTGATAACAGAAGCTTTGTTTATCGAATCAACGGCAAATACATGTAATAGGAATGATTCAACACCTGTCCCAGATATATGGAAAATTCTACTGCCCATACGACAAATGGGAGAAGACAGAGAAAACTATAAAACTCAGGTTTAAAAGTCGTGTGATCACAATTGATGTCATTGTGAAGAATAAATTTTGTTCGAAATTATGTCATCCTGTAAATAATGCTGTTTCACTGTGTGATACATCTAATGAACAAACTAATATGGAATTACTTACTACCACAGTGCCGAAGTTTTACACATATATTTCTACGTAAATGGCATATTTATTTTACGATGACTTCTTGTTAGTCTACTGAACAAAAGTATTTTCTCTTTCAGACGATGTGAAGTGTGGAAAACATTAGAATATATAAACATATCACAAAAATCTGTGAAAAGGAATTATGCAGCCATGGAAAGGTGTCCAGTTGTTTTTACTAACTGTATCACTTTACACTTGACTGAGACAGCTTATATTTGAAAATTGTATAAAAGTCTTTGCAAAAAAGTTGAAAATCTTGGTACCTTGAATCTGTTTCATCCTGAAGTGTCTCCGTTCCCTATTTGCTTCACATTCTGTAATGATTAAAAAAATGTGTACTGAATGCACAATGCAAAAAAGTTTTTTAACTTGATGTTTCATTTGAATGCGCTATACAAAGAATCTTTTTGCAAAAGGTTTAGAAAACAATCAAATATTCAGAAAACAGAAAGACTGATCGAAGAAATATTTACTTTTCAATTAGATCCTCATTTCTGGCTCTATCCTAATACATGTATAGCATTATTTCTATTACAATACACAACAATTTACCAATCAAATGGCGATAAGTTTGTTAAGACAGTGAAGCCATAGAGAAGCTGCGAAATAATGAAAATATAATAATTTCGAAACCTGATAAAGGTTCTGGACTAGTCATAATGAATAAAACTGGATACACAGATAAGATGAATGGAATATTAAGTGGTCATCGAAAATTTCAAAAAATCACATCTTCCGTCGATCCGACAGAAAAAGTGAAGAAACAACTAATTGAGTTACTAAAAAGACTTAAACAACAAAGTAGCATCACAGACGGTTTATATGAATCTTTAAAGCCTACTAGCACGGTTGTGGTGAGAGCGGACTGCTAGCCAATTGGCTGACATTAATCTACGTCAATGTCTGGTCACTAATATGGGCCGTGAGAAAATATGAACAAGGCTGTTTCAACAACCAGTCGCAGCAAACTTAAACGTGGGCAAATACGATTCGCAGATAGATGGCTCCACTTTCCGAGAAACTCGAAAACAACCAATCAGAAGACTGCGTTTGTCTACTTGACTAGGCTATAATAATGTATGTGAAATTTAAATAAATACGTGTTGATTTCCGTAATAAAAGGTTTTGTAGCCGGCCCTTGTCTTCTGTTGTTACATTTGTGGTCGCTGCCTCCAAAAAATGAAGATCCCGTGGCCAGCTGCGTTTGAAGAAGGAGACATACGGAGCTTCTTACGTGACTTCGAGGCTGTTGCTGAGCTGGTGGGTGTCAAGGAGCAGGCGGCGAAGGCAGTTGTCCTGGGGACGCTGTTGAGAGGCCGAGCGAAGGCTGCATATGACAGCGTAGACAGGTCAAATGGCACAGCGTCTTGGAAGAAATTGGTTGAACGACTAGTGTCCGAGTTTGACAGCGAAACAGACAGACAGCTAGCAATGCAGCAGTTCCGGTCAATGAAGCTTGGACCTGATGGAGACCCGCTAGTGTTGGCGGTGAAACTGACTAATCTACTTCGACGCGCGCTTCCCACTTTAGATGAAGAATCAGAAGCGCAGTTACTGTCTTCCCAATTCATCGAGAGTGTCCCAGACCACATTTCTCAGCGATTACAACTGGTTAACGCAACGCAGCCGATGGATATTAGTGAGCTGGCGAAGGTGACCAGACAGCTGCTGAGCACAACGGTAGCCGCTATAGACCAACCAAAACCAAACGAATATGAGCAGAAAATTGAAGCATTGCAGCGGGAAGTGGCGGCGTTAAAGTTGGCTGATAGAAAAGACCGGTGTTTTGAATGCGGTAAGCCGGGACACTGGAGAAGATACTGCCCAGAAAGGCGAAAAAGAAAAAATTTCAGACGGTATAATGCTTGTTCTTTCTTTCGTATGAACCTAGATTTAGTGGGGGCTATTGAGAAAGGGGCTCTGTATTCGAAGTTGCGAGTGAATGATCGAGAAGTAGTATGTTTGATAGATACAGGGGCGGCCGTGTCGTTAATAGATAAGAATTTATGTAAGAGTGTTAGTCCGTGTTCATTGACAGTACAAACAGTAGGCGGGTATGTGTTGCGTATCACGGGTAGATCGAACTGTACGGTCGTTGTTGGTGGCTGCGAGGTGACGTTTCCTTTCATTGTTGTACCCGAACTACAGCGAACGATATTAGGAGCGGATTTTCTGCGTGAGATTGGTGCAATAATCGACACGCAAGCGAACGTGGTGGTCACGAAATACGGGCATATCAACATGTATGAGACCAGCGAGATAGCAGCGATTAAGCTGTCGACGGTACACAATGTGACAGAGTTAATTAATAAATACGATCATCTGTTCACTGGAGATGGGGACCCATACGGTTATTGCGATAAGGTGAATCATGAAATTCCGTTAAGTGATCCGAAAGTAAGGTCATTTTAACGCGAAGAGTTCCATGTCATCTGGAAGGCGAAGTGGAGCGACAAGTGCAAGAGATGTTAAAAGATGATATTATTGAGGAAGCTGATAGCCCGTACAACTCTCCAGTGCTGTTAGTAAAAAAAGCGAATGGGAAGTATAGATTCTGTGTTGATTTTCGACAGTTAAACAGTATGACAGAGTTAAGACCGTGTGCCATGCCAACAGTGGTAGAAACTTTAGATCGCCTACAAGGTGCGAATGTGTTTTCGGTTCTCGATCTTCGCTCAGGATACTGGCAGATACCGATAAAACAAGGTGATAGAGATAAGACGGCTTTCATCGTGGGTCAGACACAATATCGATTTAAACGCATGCCGTTTGGACTAGCAGGTGCACCGTTTACGTTCAGACGACTGATGAAGCTATTACTTAAGAACTTGAAAAACGTGGAGGTTTATGGTGATGATCTCGTCATATACAGTCAAAACGAAAACGATCACGTCAACCATGTAGAAGCCGTGCTGCGACGCATCGAAGAGTTTGGACTACGCGTCAACAAAACCAAGTCTCAGATAGCCAAAAAGAATGTTACTCTGTTGGGACATAAAGTGGGAAATGGTGAGATTAAACCACTGCCGGAGAAAATTTTGACGATTAAAACGATTCCAGCCCCGAATTCAAAGAGAAAACTGAGACAATTCTTGGGTAGAGCAGCGTTTTATAGTCGCTTCGTGAAGAACTTCAATGAGATAGCAGCCCCTCTATACAGGCTACTAGGTGAGCCAAAGTTTGTTTGGTCGGAAGAATCGCAGAGGACATTCGACAGAATTAAACAGCTGCTCGACCACCAACAAATGACGCTAAAACTACCTGTACCAGGAAGACAGTTCACAGTGTGCACAGATGCCAGTGACTACGCTATAGGTGCGGTCCTAAGACAGGACGAGGGAATCGTTGAGTATGCCAGTAGGGTTTTGACATCACAGAGAGAAAGTATTCAACGATAGAGAAAGAATGTTTAGCAATGGTATGGGCAGTCGACAAATGGAGACCTTATTTACTCGGCCGGCGGTTCCACATCGAAACTGATCATTATTATTATTATTGTATCCTTTAGTTCCTAGAGGAGCATAGGGCTTCAGCTGCGCACCTCCATTGCCTTCGGTTTTCCGACAACCTTTTCACCCCGCTCCAGGTCTGTCCACATGCTTTCATCTCCTCCTCGCATGACCTCCTCCAAGTCACCCTTGGACGACCAACTCGCCGCCTCCCTTTCGGGTTCCACTCGAGGGCTTGTCTAGTGATGTCACTTGATGGTTTCCTCAGCGTATGGCCAATCCATCTCCATTTCTTTCTGTCTATTTGTTTCACAATCGGTTCCTGGTTGGTTCGCTCATTGCCAGAGATCTCTCTTGCTGATCTTTTCTGGCCATCTGATCTTGAGTATTGAGCGGAGACAGCTGTTAATGAAAGTTTGGAGTTTGTTTGAGATGCTCTTTATGACTCGCTGAGTCTCTGATCCGTATAGTAGCACTGACTGGCTTCACATTGGAGTTGAAAATCCGGATGTTATTTTTGATGCTGAGTGCTGTTGACCTCCACACAGATTTGAGAGTAATGAAAGCTTGTCTTGCTTTTCCGATTCTGGCTTTGATGTCCTCGTCAGTTCCGCCTGTAGTTGAGACGATGCTTCCCAGGTAGGTGAAGGAGGTTGTTTCTTTCAGGTTCTTCCCACTTATGCTGATTGTTGTCTGTTGTTGTTGTTGTTGCTGTTGATGTTGGCTAGGAATCTTCATCACCTCTGTTTTTTCTATGTTCACGTGAAGTCCTATCTTTGATGCTTCTTCTGCCAACTTGTTACTTTTCACTTGCATATCTTCCAGTTTATGGGAAATCAGACATATATCATCGGCGAAATCCATTCACTTATAAATGAGGAGAAACAAAATTTTGTTCAGCGTGAAGAAATAATTCTTTTCAGTGACTTGATTTTCAGGCTGTATAATCGTATTTGTATCTTGGAATAAAACTTGGGGGGGGGCACTAGGAAAATGCTTAGTCAATACTGCATGTAATAAGAATGATGATAATTAGTGTTTAAGGGCGCTAGTTTACACATTGAACAGCACGGTATCATGGGATATACTACTATCGATTATTATTTTATTGAACATTATGGACTAACAGGAAATACTATTCAACAAAGACGCTGAGAATTTTGAAGATTATGAAAGCATTTTGTTCAGAATGAAGCCATTGTCATAATTATTGTTTGAAATATGCGGCAAATACTCCATGAATTTGCACTCCTTTACTTCGCTGATCAGATTATGGTTTAATCTTGAGGTGACTTCAGTTACAGAACTGGTGAAGACCAAGGAGTACTGAACAGTTGCTTCGTCCCAGTTTTGGGAATCTTCGGCAGTACCCATTTATGCGTCCACCAGGGGTCTAACAGAGGACTTTGAGGTTACGTGGGGAGCTCATTGACAACTGACCATTGGGAATGCAGCCACTCATGGGTCCGTAAATTCTAACTTCTGCCATCTTGTGGTATATAGCGTGACAACCAGCCAATATCATTGGTGAGTGTTTGTCCAGGGGACCCGGGGGCCATCACTTCCCACTAAAACTTCAAACAGTTTCATTCTGTAGTCAGTCATTGGTGAGTACTGGATTAATTTTCAAGGGTGGGCTTGCAGGAATTTCATTGATTTCACGATTGATCCTGAGGTGGAGACTTGGAAGCATACCGGTGAACAGTCTCAAATTAGGACGAAACATTTGTCCAGTGCTAGCTGGTTATAAGTGGTCCCCTGAATGAAGTCACTTTTTGATCTATCTTGAAAAAGAATTATTATGATATTTGAGGTCATAAAAGTAAAGTGGATGAATAACAGAGATTTTAAAGATTATTGAATAAGTGAATTGGCATTGGGGTCTTAAAAGTGGGTTAAGTGTTGTCAAAAACTAGAAGTGTAATAATGATAACAGTAAAGAAGGGGAAGATGAAGTGAAGTCCTACCAATTTAGAAGATGAGATGGGATAAAAAAATATTAC